TATTTTCAGCTTTAGTAACACAATTTTCAGCTTTATGACCTGTGCATGTTACTACTGGTTTGGACAGCGGACAGTGCCTTGAGATGTGTCCAAAATTATTACAGCTGAAGCATTTTGGTTCACCTTTTTCATTATGTGTGACATCGTAGAGCTTTTTCTTTTCGTTGATTGTAGCAACTGGACCATCTTTAAAGGATTTTCGTTTGTCGTAAGACTATTCTTTACGCGGTTGTTTATTGTTGAAAGTTGACTTCAAGGCATCATAATCATCTAGATTTTCAACTAAATCAATTGGTGAAATCAACTCAGACCAGACGTCAATAAAATGATCTTTTACTTCTGGAGACACTCACTACGTTTTATCTGATCCAATAAGATCGATAAGTTTGTCAAAAGTATCTACTTTAATTCCGCTTATCTATTCATTAAAAAAATTTCGTAACTCATACGCAAAATTCTTCCATGTGTTTCCTATACTCTAATTGTGCCTAAAAAAATTTTGGCGGAATTTTTCAGGTGTCGTCTTGTACCGTTTTAATAAGGATCGTTTTAACTTCTTTATAATCGTTTGCAATCTCATCGGTTTCTCTGGCGATTAAGCAATATCATACGGTAATAAGCCAAACAAATGAGTAACCCATGTATTTTCTAGTATTTCAACTTGTTTAGCCAAACGTTCAAACATGATTAAATATAAACTGATATCATTCTCGTCAGGTTTAAATTTTTGCATCAAATGATGAAGCTCTAACTTTGAATTTATGTGCACTAGCATTTTCATTGGTGCCAGAATTTGTAGATCTACATTCTGCTTCAATACGTAGTTTTTGCAGTTCAAATTCCATTTCATACTTTCGTTTTCGTTCCTCATATTCTTCTTTTCGCCTACGTTCTTCATCTTGATGTTTTCGTTCTTCAATTTCTTCTTGACGTTTCGTTCCTCATTTTCTTCTTTTTCTTTTCTTTCATTTATTATAATGTGTAACCATTCATTGGCGCATTCTTCATCGTACTCTTGCTAGCCAAAATTATCTTTTTCAAAGCGCTCATTTTATGACTCTCATTTACATCTTCAGCCAATTCTTCAGCTAATATTCTTAAATCGCATTTCTTTGCCTTACCGAAAATAGACATTTTCGTACTCATTAAAATGCAAATTATATATATATGCTATTATTATTAACTTCCAATTAGACAACTTAGTAGAACACAATTATTGGTATTTTATAAGTTTGTTTGACGTTCTAATTATATTTCAAAATTTAAAGAAATGAAAAATAAATAAATAAATAAACTCTCGGTTGAAATGCGGTTTAGCCCACTGCTTGGCGATTGTTTTTCAATGGGCAATAAACGCGCCAATATGGCTAACTCGATGTTTTGACACTGTGTTGTTATTTCTGTTGCCACTAGATGTTATCGCCCTGTGTTATATTTAAAAAAATTAAATATTGAAAAATCTGCTTAAATGTTTCTCGCATTGTGATAAAACAACGGTACCTAGAGCCATCAAATTTAGAATAACATATGTTTCCAAACTAATATGGGCATCTGGATGCCCAAACTTGGAATTTGGAATTTTTTCTTACTATCTGATTGATATTTGTAAAACTTGAATGAATTTTTGATTAACAAACTCAAAGATTTCAAAGCGAACAACGCCAAACAAGTACTTAAGGAAAAAAAAAAAAATTACGTGCAAAGCGCAAAACTGTGTATCGGAAATTCTAAAGATATGCTCATTTTAAAATTATTTTGCGATATTGCTTTGAACTGAATTTTATGGTTTAAGTGTAAAGAACATTATATTTGGTAAAGAAAGGTAACACACAAAACGTTAAAAAAAGCCCCTTTGGACGCAATGTAAAATCTGAAAGCTTATTATTCTTTTTTTAAATTTTTACATGTTAATTTGAGCAGTTAATTCTGTTGCGGTTTGAATGTTCTTATGTGGTGGTTCTTTTTTTAATCGAGTATTTTCCCCCTGTGGGTTTTTGCCTTTTTTCTGCATATATTACGGAAACGGAGTATAAAACGTTAGTAAATTTATTTAAAGATGAGGGGGGATCCAAAAGGGTTTCCCCCTGAGATAAATTCAATATACATATATAAAACCCCTTCAAAAAGATTTTACATTTTTCTTGAAAAGGGTAAATGAAAAAAATTTTCTTGTATGGTTCGTTTTAAAATTGCTTACTTTTAATATTTTGTATTTCTTTTTGGCTCGATCCTAGAAGATTGGAAAAGCTGAGGTTGTGCAATTCTCTGATGTTTTGTTAAGTGAAAATAGATCGATGTGTACATGGGCAAAGCCAATGTAGTGCGCAATGCCGAGGTTGTGCACGATGCCGAGTTTGTTCAATTCTGGGATGTTTTTTGAAGTCAAAATAGATCGCTGTGCACATGGGCAAAGCCAATGTGGTGCGCAATGCCGAGGTTGTGCGCGATGCCGAGTTTGTGCAATTCTGGGATTTTTTTTTAAGTGAAAATAGATCGATGTGTCCATGGGCAAAGCCAATGCAGTGAGCAATGCCGAGTTTGTTCAATTCTGGGATGTTTTTTGAAGTGAAAATAGATCGCTGTGCACATGGACAAGGTTGTGCGCGATGCCGAGTTTGTGCAATTCTGGGATTTTTTTTAAGTGAAAATAGATCGATGTGTACATGTACAAAGCCAATGTAGCACGCAATGCCAAGTTTGTGCGATTCTCCAATGTTTTCTAAGTAAAAATAGATCGACTTGCACATGGACAAAGCGAAGTCAATGCGCAATGCCAAGTTTGTGCAAATCTCTGATTTTTAGTGAAAATAGATGGATGTGTACATCGACACTAAGTTTTTGCAATTCTTTGAAGTTTTTTGAGCGAATACAGATCGTTGTGCACATGAACAAAGCGAGGCTGTATGTTATACCGAGCTGTAATGTAACGTATTTTATATGCAATGTTTAATGTGTCGTTTGTGTATTTTAAATTTGCATTGTTGTTTTAATTGCAGGTCATACTTTAGACATCTATTTTTAATTGTTTGGTTTTGATATGTTGATAATGCTTTCCGAAAAATGTCGATAATCCAACGATCTAGTCAATAGTAGCAAAATTTGACCCAATAAATAACTTTTTTCATTAATACGTAGTATTTCCTATCGCAATTGCACTTGATAATACGAGTTCATTGATAATATGTGTGTATGTGAAGCATTGCTTAGTGTTCCAAATTTGTAGTGTTTATTTTCTTTCATTGTGAGAAATTAGATTTTTTTATTTGTAGATTGTATAGAATTCTAATAAGACTATAGAATATGACGTGATTTAAGAATTTAAGAAACAGTGATATGAAAGCTGTGTATGATGTTGATCTGCAACAAAAATATTTATTATTTTTTATTAATGTAAAGTTTAAAATTTTTAGAAAATAATGAAGATCTACTTACTAGTACCTAAGGGATTGTGTCGTTACGTAGCAACAAGGTAATTTGTAAAAATGATAAATTAAAATGTTCGATAATATGAGTTTAAATTTGTTGGCAACTACTCCGGTAAAAGAAAGAAAGAAGAAAGAAAAAAAAAAAAAAAAAAAAGGAGGGAAATAGTTTTTGATTCGAGCGTATTGGCAACAGAGAGAAACCAAACGAAAACCGTAGAACTAGCACTTCTTTTTTAGAACTTGAACTCGATTTTTGGTAGTTTTTTAATCGGCTCTAATTGGATATTGTTCTTTAAATGATTATCCTTTTAAACTAAAAATGTAAATAATGTCAATATAAACCCCCTTCCAAAAAAATCAAAATCACGTGTATGATTTATTTTACGTTGAATCAGTCACAAAAGAAGTTAGTATTTTTTTAGTAGCTATCCGGAATATAATCCAGCATCAAAAAAACCATCAAAGGGGTAAGTCTTGAAATTTATTAAGCCCTTATATTAATAGATTTAACGTAAATTGGAGGATATATTATTTTATTTAAAAGACACACAATAATTTGCAACATTCTGATATAATTGCCGCAATAAATTTAATAATAAAAATCTTTTTTTATTTGATTAAATTCTAAATTCTTTGAAAATACTGAAGCTGTATGAAATACAAATATGAGAGACTGCGACGTTGTTTACCGTTTTAATAACTGGTACAATTCACTTACCGCATTATTATAACTTAAAATATAAAGAATTTATTATACTTATATCTATAGAGATTACATTGTGACGTCACACTTTTAGTCTCACCCATTTATAGACGTCACTTAGTTCCGTCTTAGCAACTTTGTTTACGTAACGTATTCTGAGATTTTACTGGCGATTTTTAAAAAATCGCGCCAAGCAGTGGGCTAAAGCACATTTTCACCAAACTATCTTTCCTAAATGATAAAAAAATAACAAAATTAAATTCTATAATAAATATGTGACATCAATCAATGCACATTGCTTGAAATTCAAATTATTTTCAATTTATTTACGTATAGCAAAGTCTTGTAACTTTAGGCTTAGGTTTCAGAATAATCTCACTTCTGATTTATATTAACTTCCTTTTGTAGTTAAATTAATCACTCATAAAACGGTTGTAAAAGACAAACAAACATTTATTTAAAGATATATCTTAATAACTTACACGTAACTTATTCGTAAACGTACATAACATAACAAACGTATTTACTGCATCGTACCGTTAAACATTTCAAGCGTACATCATCTGATTTTTAAAATTATATAGAACGACATCCAGCAATTAGCTGTTGCCATTTCTCAATAGATATTTTGTTTAATAACAATAAACAATTTACAATCGTGCTTACAGTACTTAAATTTTTTAATCTTTAAATCTTTTTAACCTGAAGCTATCGCCTCTTGATAGATGACTGAATGTTTTGAGAATCAATGACGGTGTGTCGCATTACTTTAAAAATGGGACAAACCTGTTTGGTCTTCATCGGTCTGCTTTTCTTCATTTTATATGTTTCCCGGTATGATAATAGATGGCGGCACTAGAGTATCTATTCGTTGAATCGTAATGACACATTGTATCGTATTATCATTGACACATTGTATCACGTTGTACTAAAATTTTGTGACTTATTAATTAGATTTCGAAATAGTATTATTCATGATATACTAAATACTGCATTCTGTTGTTATGGGATCAAGAAAATACATGAATCTTTTTCGCAGCAGAGAAGCATCAACACAACTCAATTTACAACAAATCATATCAGGCGTTTGTGTTTAATTTTGTTGGTGATGAAATGGAGTTCCAAATAAGAAGTGGTATGGTTAAATTTTATTTAACGAAAGTGTTTAAACGTTATGTATTAATCTGTGTGTATTATGTGCGAAATGACTCGGATGAATATGCGAACTGCATGTGTGAAATACAGCGATAATTTTGTCAGCTAATGTGGTTTGAAATACATTTGCAATAACTGATAGCTCCTCTAGATCAAAGATATATATTTTGTCTTTAGGATTAATTACTGTGAAGCTTAATAATGTAAACATAGTCATTTCATCAATAAAATTTCGTCCTTCAATTTTTAATTGTGAATATCGTCCACTGTAAAAATCTAAGCTATGTACTCCCCTCTAAAATAAGCTTAGAAATCCTAAACTTGCGTGTTTGATTTTTATTGTATTTTTCTTTTCTCCTTTTCTTTTTTTTTTTAATGTTCCTAATTGACTATTGCTGTAATACTTCGAAGTCATGTTTTCTGTACTAACAACTAAAGTCGAGGGTAAAAGTTTCAATAGATTGTTAAAGTAGAATAGTTCTGGAAAATTAAATCTCGCACGCATGTTTCAAAGAAAGAAAAAATTGTGACGCATATTTATATATATTTAAGGAAGGTTTTAATGGGCAGAATACAAAATTTTGATAACCATGTGATGGAAAAGTTTTATTTTAGTGATGTGTGTAATTTACTTCAGTGATGTGTATAATTTACATCATAATTATAAGATTGGAAGCTTAAAAGAAAGATAAGCAGGTAAAGATAATTTAGTATTGTGATGAGAAATTCCGTACTGAATTGTGGACCAGTGGAATACTTCTTTTTTATATTTTAAGAGCTTATTTTGCAGGTGAGAATACTTTAAATACTTCCCCCCTCCCTGATTGTCACATTTGACCAAATCAGTGTCTGCAATGATCTCTGTCGCAACTTCAGTAAGATTTAAAAATTTGTTTCATTTTGAATCCATCATATCGTTTTTACACACTTAGAGTCTGATCCTTAGTTCCTTAAGTGCATTTGGAAATATAATGAAGCATGTGTGTGTGTTCTTGGTTGTAGGAATTCACAAGATGTACTACAGGCTCAGTATTTCCTTGTAATATGGTAACAGGTAGTTTGGTGACATTTTGGCAGTGTACATGTATAAAGTCAAGAGTGTGCGCAGTGCCATTTTCATGCAAATCTGGGATTTTTTTTAAGTGAAAATAGGTTGACGTGTACATGGATACCGTGTATGTGCAATTCTTAAAAACGTGGTTTTGCGATTATGCACTTTCTCCCAATTTCGCACCTAATCTTCGTCATGATTAAGCACTTTTGTTTCATAAAAGTTCTGCATAAGCGTAATTCGACTAGCAAATTATTGGAAAAAAAATGTTGAGTAAAAAAAAAAAAACCATGCCTTTACTTCGTGAAAACGAAATGGCGTCCAAACAAAAACTAGCAGTTTGCTGTAGCAGGGTTTAACCAAAAAAAGAATTAGACTGCCTTCTATATTAAATGCCGAATTTGATATTTCTGGAAGAAAAAGGTATATATATTCTTTCACATGCAGTTAATTAGTTTTTGCTTATCTTCAACCCATGATTCACCTATATTTTTTATAATTACACACAAGATACTGAAGCACTTAGCTGCCAATTTCATATTCTTTGTTCCGGTAACATGCCAATAATAGCAGGTTAACATGCAAATGTATGTTGATCTATCTTTTTGATAATGATGTGCTATGGCTCATATGTAGACAAATAGTGCTTGTAGTCAAAACAATAAATTTTTAGTTTTCTATTGAAAATCTGGATACTTTCTGAATTATCTGTCCAACCTTGAAAAGTATCGCCAACCATTGGCAACTACTTTTCTGCCAAGATGTGAAAGACAACACCAGATTTAAAAAGTGGCAGCACACTAATAATTACATAAAACAACAACCAATTAATGAAATTAATAATGCTAAAAACATCCATGATAAAGTAGGATTTTTTTTTTTTTTTTTTTTTTTTTTTTTTTGGCACTGTTCATCCCATGTATAGAGTGATCTTGTTCTTGCGTAATTAAACATTGAAGAAATGCAGACAACTTAGCACTGGATATGCTACTGTTTTCCCTATGTACACAGCAATCTTTTTGCTTAAAAAAGAAAATCGGAAAATTGCACAAATTTGTCAGTGTTTACACTATTCTTCTTCCTGCATTCACAATGATCTGTTTTCATTTCAAAAAATATTAGAGAATTGCATATATTTTAATCCATAAAATTTGATTATTTATGTTTCTACTTCACAAATGTGAATTCTTGCATTCTGTGTTCAGCAAAATGCCATGTTTTTGAAAAATGTGATGCTTCCTTTTTTTTTTTTTTTTTTTTTTTTTTTTTTTTTTATCAGCTAGCAAACTTCACATATAATTCTTTATATATATATATATAATAATTTATTTCCTAAACAGTATTGATTATATTATATAACTTGTATTCGCACTAAATGGGTTTAAGATCATACAACATTATATATATATATATAAATTGCAACTAAAACAAACAGTAATGGCAGTTAAACTTGAAAATCAAAAATGGCATTCGTCTGTTGCTCATGCAAATATACTTGGGTTGCAAATAAATATATATTTTGCTGACATTATGGGTTCCTGTTTTGGTGGCATAGTAGACTGCAGGAGTTAATTCCTTTCAGAGTTGGGCGTATAAGCAGAAGCACCAAAAACTTACATTTCTGGAGCAATTTTGAAATTGATAATAATGCCATTAATGTGCAATAAAATGGTATCTAAGCAAATATTCATGCGAACAAACAGTTATCTAAAGAAAACAAAAGTAAATGACTTTCGGCTAATCTTTGGAATATGGTAACAGGTAGTTTGGCGACATTTTGGTAAGGCGATAAAGGTTACTAGCTAAAACTTTAACAGTGTACATGGATAAAATCAAGATTGTGTGCCATGCCATTTTTGTGCATTTCTGGGATGTTTTTTTAAGTGAAAATAGGTCGACGTGGACGTGGATACCGTGTATGTGCAATTCTTAAAAACATGGCAAGCAGTTTGCGATTCTGCACTTTCTCCCAATTTCACACCTAATCTTCGTCATGATTAAGCTATTTTGTTCCATAAAAGTTCTAGCATAAGCGTAATTCGGCTAGCAGATTGTTGGGAAAAAAAATGTTGAGTTAAAAAAAAAAAAAATGCCTTTACTTCTTAAAAACAAAATGGCGTCCAAACAAAAACTGGTAGGTTGCTGTAGCAGGGTTGGTCGCCAAAAAATCGCCAAGTTACCATAATCCAAAGATTAACCTGACTTTCTTGTATGCCTAAATTATGTAAAGAACATGGTCCTTCAATGGAAGCTGAAGTAGTACTATGAGTAATTATATTTTTTTCATTTAAGAATCCTTTGAGTAACATAACCATTATCTTTTGGTCGTTCGATTTGTCACTTGCTATATACGCTGCTCGACATTGAAAATGCAACACCAAGAAGGAGTGCCCAGAAAATGATGAAATTTGGAAAAAAGACAGAGATGGTAAGCAGCAATGAATTGGAAGTTGATCTGTCAGCACTATCCTTATCTCCAGGGCAGATGTTTTTATTTGGCTTATAATTGCTTACTAAATGTAGTATTTCATCTCGATGTACTCCGTCTTTGATATGATTTAAATCAAATTCCTCATCATTCTAATTCGCTTCCGATAGTGAAGAAAGTGACACAGAGGTTATTGAAAACGGAAAAATTTCGATTGATAAGTTAGTCGGTATTCTCAGCACGGCAATTACAGGACTTGAACAGTGGAACTTCGTAACTGAACAGAAATTCTGTCTTTTTATAGAATTAAAGAGAAAGTATTATCACATAAAAACGAAGCAACTTAAACAACTTATTGAATAAATCTTTAAAAAAAAACTTAATATTTATTTGTTTAAGAAAGTAAACAAATAAATATTAAGCTTTTTTTTTTGGTAAATTTTGATACCCCTTAGATCATAATTGTCCTTTATTTCATAAATTACGGTTTCATATTTTTAATTTTAAAATTTCTGCATGCCATCTTACCAGATTTAAACTGATGATCTATAATCCGGAATCGCCGAAGTCCCGACGAGTCCTGATTAACGACTTTTGACTGTAATTCTTTAGCTAGATGTACTAGTTACAGATATAGCATATAATAAACTTAAATCACTTCTTGTTATTTTTTATATTGCATCTTTATTTTTTATCCATTTTCAAATAAAGTTGCATATTGTACCTATTAACAGATGCTTTTCTTGATCCTGTAATTTTATTAATACATCACTGCGTATTGCAATGTCACATTTATCCATTATTAGTCTGAATCATTATTTGGTAAGAGATTTTATTTGTTTCAAGTTGTCCGATACATGCCTTAGGATTGCTTCACAAATCTCTCATTAGCTTAAATATTTTTAAACAAAAGTTTTTAAAAATTTAAAATATGCCAATTAGTTGAATTCTTGATAGTTGGACTTTTACTGTAATTAATAATAATTCTATGCATCAGTGTGTAAAATATTTTATTTTGGCAATCTTTAGTTATTTTGAGTAATTTTTGCAGTTTCTTAGTGTTATACAACATTTTGTTGCTAAACTGTATATGCAAATAAATAAATAGTATCTATATTTTGTGCATTGCCTCATAGGTATCCACTGAATTATAGTAATGTCTCCAAAGTTATGTAGTAATTCCTAAGCCATATTGTAAGTCGGGGGAAAATGTTTCCATTGTTTAAAATAGAGCTGGCATTACTTCACCAGATTTTTGGCAAAACAAGGAGGATCATATTTGCTTGATTAAAAATTTTAATGTGAATGAAATAAAAAGGAGTAAAAATATATTTCAGTGTGCCTCTTGCCAAAAATTGGCAATTTTATGGCACCAATCTTGTAGACTTCCAATGCCCACCCCAGTAAAATAACATCCAAAACATAATTAAAACAAAAGATAAAAATTTACAATTGGGTGCGCCTTGTTTTTTTGGCAACTCTTTTTTGACACCAAGATCGG